TCTTCTTCTTCTTCTTCTTCTTCTTCTTCTTCTTCTTCTTCTTCTTCTTCTTCTTCTTCTTCTTCTTCTCCTTCTCCTCCTCCTCCTCCTTCTTCTCCTCCTTCTCCTTCTTCTCCTCCTTCTCCTCCTTCTCCTCCTTCCCCTCCTTCCCCTCCTTCTCCTTCTCCTTCTCCTTCTCCTTCTTCTTCTAGTTTAATGTCAACCTGACACAAGCTAGAGTCGTTGGAGAAGAGGGTGCCTTAATTGACAAAATGCCTCCATAACATCAGGCTGTAGACAAGCCTGTAGAGCATTTTCTTAATTAGTGATTGGTGTGGGAGGATCCAGCCCATTGCTTCTGGGCTGGTGGTCCTGGCTGAGGAAGTCATGAGGAGCAAGGCAGTAAGGCACACCCCTCCATGGCCTCTGTACCAGCTCCCGCCTCCAGGTTCCTGCCCTGTTTGAGTTTCTGTCCTGACTTCCTTCAGTGATGAACTGTGGATTCAGAAGAATAAGCCAAATAAACCTTTTCCTCCCTAGCTTGCTTTTGGTCATGGTGTTTCATCACAGCAATAGCAGAACAAACAAAGAGAGGTTCTCACTATGTATCTCTCTGGCTGACCTGGACATCTCTATGTAGACCAGGCTGGTCCTGAACTCACAGGTATCTATACCTGCCTCCTGAAAGCTGTGGTTAAAGGTGTTTTTATCATGCCTAGCAGCTTCCATTTCTAAACAGCTTCTCTAATTTAGACTATGATGTTTTAAAATCATTTACCAACTCTCTATTTTAGTACATGATTGGATAGGATTACCACCCTTTATCTCCCTCTGCCTGTGTGCAAGTCTCTCCCTCTGTGTGTGTGTCCACACAGGGGAGTATGAATGTGTGTAGAGGCCAGAGGAACAACCCTTTTCAGGAACTTTCTATCTTTCCTTGTTTATTAATTAATTTACTTACGCAGGGTCTCACTATTTAGACCAGATTGACTTGAAACGCATAGAGATCCTCCCGCCTCTGCCTCCCAAGTGCTGGGATTAAAGCCACCGTGCCTGGCTTGTGTTCTCACTGGGCTGGAGCTCACCAAGAGTGCTAGGTGGCTGGGACCCTTATTTCTTCCCTTCCCTTCCCTATTGCTTGGATTAAAAGCAATTGCCAAGGCCCCTGG